TATTTATAACCCATTTAGGTTTAGTTTTAAGAAACTCAAGAATTTTTTTTTAGAAAGCTAATAAATTTAAATAAATTATTGAATATTTCAAGAAAATTATATGCTCTATATCTGATAACTAAAATTTCAAGATTTTCATGATTAAATTCAAAGAATTTTTTAAGGTATTGTAAAACTGCTATTTTCTTTAATTAAATAAATGCATTTTTTTAAGTACTTTACTTGATCATTTGAAATAAAGTATCAAACAGAGTAAAGACACCTGCATATTTAATTATTTATATTTACTCTACTAAATAAATACTTTAAATTGTAATGATTAGCCTATAAGTCATCTATAATAAATTGAAACTAAGGGTGAATATTAAATTCACAAAACTATTGTAGATTTTTCTTTAAAATACTAAAAAGACTTATACAAGCAATTAAATTCTCATTTGCTTCACTATTTTAACAATAAGAGAAATTCTCCGGCCTTTTATTTCATTTACTTTCAATTCATCAAAAAATTAGATATTTGGTTGAATTGGTAATATCCAAAATTATTTGATAGTTTAGAATGCCACAACTTAAATTTTGCAGAATATATCTCTAAATAGTATCTCTTATGACTTATAAATTTATTTTATACCAAATTTGGTTTCATAATAGACAATATTATCTCTATTGAGCAGAAATTATATTTTATTCAAAATGCATACAAATGAATTTAGAGCAAACTAATATAGGAAAATATTTAAAAATGATGAATCCTTCATAAATTAATATAAATTCACATTTAAAATGTAAAGTTTAGTACTTTTATAATTAAGTTTATACTTCCAAATATAAGATTAAAATTATATTAATTTTATCTTTAAAGATTTTGAATAATTATAAAAAAAAGTAGTGAAATAGGATGCATGATATGTTGAAAGGTGTGTAGATTATGTATTTTTAGTTCTTAGTTAGTATATTGTCATTATGCATTTATAATGATAAAAATTTTAGTTTTGTATAAAAGTTTTTCATCTATAAATCTGCAAAATGCTAGTTCCTTCTAAAAATTGAGTTATATTACGCAATCATACAATATAGCAATTGAAATTTCAAAAATTAATCGAGAAGTAATGATAAATGCATAACTTTAGTGATTCATTGAATCTATTTTTTCAAAGAGTAATAAATTTAATAAAATAAAATTCCAATAAAAAAAAAGGAAAAATAAAAAATCAATCAAAATTTAATTTCAAAAATAATGGTTTTATCAGCTATTTAATTTAACTAGTGTTAATTCTAAGGAGGTTGTGAACTTAATTTACCAAAGAACTTAAATTAAGGAATAAAAAGAAGCTCCATAATAAAAAAATACAGCAATTAACCTTTCATTTACAATTAGTATGAAGCATAAGCCTTGAAAAGTAAAAATGCAATATTAATCAAATAATTTGCACCTGTTTATAGACCTTAACTTCAATAAAATTAGATGTAATTTGTATATATTAATTATTTCATTTGGAAAATTTTAATATTGATTGAAAATCCTCCCTCCAATAAATATCCTTAATATCAATCTATGATTACAAACATTATTCATTTTATCAAATTTGAGTTTTAATGATGCCATTAGTTAAATATCCAGAGTTTTTAAACATTTTATGCCCAATCTACCGTAAATATAGATGGAATAATATATTGTAAATAATGATAATATAAATTTTTTAATTTCATGAAAAATTAATAATTAACTTAAACTTTTATTGTGTGTAAAGCCTTTTTGTGAGTAAAATTTTGTTTTTACATTTATCGATATTACTTCCTACATTTAATAACAAAAATTCTTAAACAAACTAATTTCAAAAATGTACTGTTATTGTGTATTTGTTTAATCACCTGATAATTATTGTTTTTTTCTTGATTTAATATGGCATCTATACTATATTTGCAATACTTGAATTACAAGTTTTGAAGATAGTCAAATCCCGAAAACTAAATTTTTCATGTATTTTCTTAATATTTTTTCTATAGATTTAGTTCTGTATAACTAGGTGTCCTTACTTAAAATTTTTTTTTTTCAAAATGATTAAATTGAAGTATTAGCGAAGAAGGGTTTAATTATGGTTAGCTTCAATAAATAAAAATTTTGAGATTAATATTTCGCATTAGGCGGTCAAATTATCAGACAAATTCTCATAGTTAAGATTATTTTTCAAGAGATAATGAATTTATTAAGTGTACTTGTTAAAATAATTTGTATAAAGACAAAAGATTAAATAAATGATTATGAATTATAAAGGGTTTGAGTTAAGATTTGTTAGATTAGTAGAAACTTGAGTATAAGGATATTTAATTTTTATCTTTTGAATTTTGAAAAATAGTTAACTGTCTACTGAAATTGTAAATTTCATAAATAAAGTAATTGCAAAATCACATCGTTTTATACTGACAATTATATATTAGGTTATATTTAAGCTTTAATTTTTTTTATTAATTTCTATTGTTTTCCATCAACTATTAAATTGAAAAATTCAGCCATAAATGTGAACATGAGTATATTACTATTCTCAAAAACATATTTGCTCATCTAAAAGAATGATAGAAGTAGTATACAACTATTTATTTTTGTTAATTCCATTTAATAGTGAGATTAAGATTTTTTCAATTAGATAATGACCTCATTTATTAATTCAAGCAAATTTTATATAAGGTATTTATAAAATGGAATTTAGATTGAATTAATCATCGCTATTAAATTATTAATTCTTGAACTTAACTCTATTTTTCCATCTGGCATCTAATTGTAAATAGATTATTCAATATAGGGTATTTGATTTAGATGTTAGATATCCTATATTCAATTTTGTTCACTCATTAAAATTTAATTTTTAACTTTATTCTTAAAATCCTCAATAATCTATAATAATTAATTATAATA